AAAAATGGAAATAAACTCATATCATTGCAGTTTGTCAGATTCAATCATCCACTATGTTCAGAATCTCAGAATGGAGGAAATTGGACATTTAACACTGTTCTATTGATACTTTTCCCATCTCATCAATTTTCTTAGTTGGACATATAAAAATGGCAGTAAAATGTTTATTTTGTTTTATGTTAAAAAAGTGTTAAAAATGGAAATAAACCCATTTCAGAACAGTGCTGTCTTGTTTACATTTTGGCATTATCAAGGCGTGACTTTGAAGTTCCATGGGCCTGAAGACCTTTGCTAGTCACATTTTCTGAATATCTGTGATACAAATATTTTATAATTATTTAACTTTTTTCAGCATATATGCAGCACCGATAACACGATAAGTGGAAAACTGTTTTTTCCTTTGGTTTGAAACTTACAGAACTGATGAATATTCATAATACACAGGTCAAGTTCGAAAATCAGCATGATTGGGTCATTTTTAGGGAATTTATACTGTTTTTTTCACTTTTTTCAGCATATATGCAGCACCAATAACACGATAAGTGGAGAACCATTTTACCTTTTGGCTTGAAACTTACAGAACTGATGAATATTCATAATATGCAGCTTAAGTTCGAAAATCAGCATGATCGGGTCACTTTTAGGGAATTTATGCTGTTTTTTCATTTTTTTCAATGAAAGTTATGCTGTTTTTTCACCTATTTACCTATTTACCTATTGATATTTTTCTTATCTCAACAATTTTGTTTGTGGATCATATAAAAATGACTGTAAATTGATCATTTTGTTTTATGCAAAAATGTGTTATAAATGAAAATAAACTCATTTCAGTACGGGTACCTTTGTTAACATTTTGGTGTTTTCATGGTGTGACTTTGAACCTCTATAGTCCTGAAGACATTTACTAGTCTTATTTTCTAAATATCCTTGTAACCTGCAGTTCATAGTTTAAGATTTTTGTTGATTTTGCTGTTAATGATTGTAATTTTGCATCAAAATGGAAGGAACCCCTATTTTGAGCACTGTCGCCATATAGTAAACATTAAAGGAAAATCATTTTACTTACTGTTCTCAAACTAATAGAAAAGAAACATAGGACTAAAATCCATCTTCATTTGGTAAATAAATCAATTGGTTTAATCTTCTGGAAGTTATACAGGTTTTTGTGAAAATTAAATTTTTCACATATTTTGTTTGAAAATTTTAATAACTGGATGATTCTCCCTTTTAACATATAACTAAATAGTTATGATCTGATTAACTACAGAGAACTCAAAAAATTAGAAGTATTTAATTTACATGTATTTAAATGTTTTGTTTAGTGATATGATCAGTACTGTAATATACTGTAATGTATACTAGTATCAATGTCTGCCTTTTGAAAGACATTTCAAGTTAAAAGCAATAGTCAGTGCTACGTACTTTTCAAGCTACAAACAAAAGCCAGTGCTAATTATTAAATTTATGAATTTTTTGTGAAATTTTCATTTTTCTCATTCTGGCACTTTAATTGTAAACTTGAACTCTGATGGGTCTGAAGCCTTATGCTTTTACTTTCATCAGTGTTACCTGTTGTGCATAATTAAAATTTGATGTTGACTGTGCAGTTAAACATAATGTATTATTGCATCAGAAATGGCAGTCTCCTGTTTTATTTTGTGTATTATTGTTTTCTGCTTTTCTTAAGGTGTGACTTATGGACCTGAAGACCTTTGATAGACAAATTTGTGTGGTCAGTCTGTAAATTCCCCTTGGGTATTCACTAGGCTAATTTCAGTGCTATAAACTCATTTGCCTAATTAAGCGGCCATTAAATGAAATTTCATAAAGCACACTTGTTGATATTTCCCTGTAAACTCCCAAAGGTTAAGCTCTCTGCTAGATAACATAGTGTCCATAATAAGGAAGCAGTGAATAGCAGCTTTATTGGAATTATATTTTTGTTGTTTTCTTTTTCATTTTTTCTCCAACACTGGCATTTTTAAGATGTGATTTTTAACTCCCATCCACCTGAGGCTCTGCACATTTTCAGTATTTCCACATAAGCAGTTGTATTGGTATTTATGTCTTTAAACAAGCTGTAATATTATTTTATGCACTGTCATCATTTTTCATATATTGGGACTTTCATCATGTGAATTTTAACTCTCGTGGTCCTGAAACTGTAATCTTATTGAAAGGTTGGATTGAGACCATCTTCTGGGTCTCCTGGAAGACAGTCAGATTTTAAAGTTTATATTAACGGGTTTCTGTTGGAAGACCATCAAAATGGAGGATGGATCAACAAAGATACTTTGGAATACTGTCAGAAAATATCTCTGGATTTGCACCATGTTACCTGTTGTGCATGATTAAAAATCAGTGTTGACTGACTGTGCTATTATAAGCATTAATTATTGCATCAAATTGACAAAATGACCTATTTTGCATCTTTTTTTTTTCTGTTTTCTNGTGCACGGCAACGGCGACGGCAACAACAGACGCAGATGATGGCTATACGTACAGACACATCTGTGTCTGTACATAAAAAAAACATTTGAAAGTGTGTTTTACAAATCTTAATAGTTGATAATACTGAGAACATTACACCCTCAACCCTTCCTGAAAACATTCAATACAATCAATAATGGGCTATATCTGGGAATGCCTTTCTAGGACACATTTAGTGTATTAAATAGTATAGAAAGGCCAGACACGTCTGCACCCGATCAAGAAAGCTGAAATGACCACAAATTCAAAGTGTTCCTCTGTACTCAGAAAGGTCTTGTACATTTTGCAGGGACCCTGCATATCTGATACAATAACACTAACCTGTAAACGTGTAAAGATCTTGTCCATGTGGCACTGATCACACTCCACAGGAAACTCTGGACAATCTGACAGGTGGTGATCCTGGGATAAGTAATAGTGATAGAAAATATAAATAATGGAATTCATAATATTATACATTTAAGCTCCAACATGCAACTATAAGGCTACAGCTAAAGATATTTAAAAAACAAAACTAAGGGACCATTCAGATCGACATGAGCCAAGTGCTAGCAAGGCCGCAACCTAAATATGGTAGACCTACATGAAAGGAAGACTGCCTAATCCTGTAATGGGTTCTCCACCTCCAACACACCTCCCCACGCATCGTCCCTGCAAGGGCACAGTAATTAAATCTCAGCTCAATCCAACCAGTCAAGATTCGACACGGGGGGGGGGGGGGATTTAGTGGTCTTCCTTTCATAATAGGTCTGCCACATTTAGGTCGCACCCTTGCTAGCACTCAGCTCTTCTCGATCTGAATGGTCCTTAACACACTTCGTTAGATTGCCTAGGGGTAACCGTAATGGATGGGGATCTATGGAGGCCCTCACAATCAGTAGGAAAATAATGAAAGCAGTAAGTTACCAAAATGCTCTATTCTGCCCATTTATAACTAATGATAGTGATTGTGAAGTTTTCCAAAAAAAATTAGAAGTGACATAATCCATTATGTGAGGTGGAAAATTAGACAAGTTTTGAAAGGAAAAAATGTCAGTTATGTCAACAAAATGCAATCATGGTAGTCAAGCTGCCTTAAAGACATTAATCACAATGTTCCTTGTATATCTGATGATCTCTTTTCACTGTCCCTTCAAATGAAAGTAGGCTTTAAAACTTTATACTTGTCTAATATCAAATAAAGGGCAAAGAACATGAAAAAAACCATCTACTGCTACCTTTACGTCTTTAAAAACCAGCTTAGCTTTGCAATACTCGCAATCCACAGGTCTCATTAAGCAGTCTTCCTTGAGATGACCCTCTAAGTCTTTCTTGTACACAAAGTCCTTGCAACCAGACCTGCCACAAGGCTGCCTGATGAACTCACATTCTTCTTCGTGGGACTGTAAAATGGATTAAAACAGCAGTTTAAATGGTGACTGTGTTAGGTGAGACGGAACTGGTTGAGAAAAGACCAATTGTGCTAGTAAAGATTGTGCTTGTTGAGACAAGTAACATGTTGTGCTAGGAGAGATTGTGCTTGTTGAGACTAATAATATGATTTATTATGTGAGATAGGACTGGAGATTGAAAAGTTTTATCTGAACATGGTCTGCCAGTATTCTAATGTTTTAATATTTAATGTTAAAACATGACTGTGTAATGTATACTGTGTGCACACATGATTAAGTTGGTAATGTGTGTACATTTCATGTTCTGTGAGAGTAAGCTGTGGACACCACATTTTTACTGTACTTATGGTTCTTACATGTATGCTGTTACACAAATGGCATCAAAGCTATAATGTGCAATTTGGATTGTGTTAAATGTTACTGTCTGGTTACTAAAATGACTAAGCAGATTATTCAAACAAAGGCATACAACAGTCTCATCAATACTGATATATATAGGGGGATATCATAGGGTTGAATTGAAAATATTTTTCCTTAGATTTTTGTCATGATAACTAAAAACAGAGAATTTTCAAAAGGATTGTAAATTCTGATTTATCATTTTTTTCAACTATTTCAAATATTTCATGAGTGTGTGGTGAGATATTAGTGTTATCAGTGTGCTCTTGTACCTCATTAACTCAAATATGGCTAAGAGCTTGCTTGCAGTCTTAAAATATTCAATCCTGCACACATCAAACTATTCACATAGACAAATTCATCTTCATCTTTATACATTTATATTACACATGGCTTGGGTGGACAACTCCAATAAGAAGGTCTTTGCAAATAAAATGTTGTTTACTTCATAATCTTTAAGTTTCCCCTCCCATGGGCAGCCATCTCCCTTGTTTGTGCAGATCACTTCTAGTTTCAGGACTTCACGTTCAACAGCTCTATCAGGATACACCTACAAAAGATATTTCTGTAAATTAAAACTCTGTCATGCTACACTTAATCATTACATTTCTACAAACTACAGTGCATAATTATCAGTAATGATCACATATATTATAAGTCTCATGACAAACAAACACAGATGGGCTGGACATGTGGCAAGACTTAAAGACAACCATTGGACCATCAGAACAAAAGAGTGAACTCTAACACCCCATTTCCATAGATTTTTAGATCGATCTATCCCTGTGGGAAGTCTCACTAGATTACTGTCAGCTTGGCCGGCTTAAGCGTCTGTCCCGCCTACTAAAAGCTCTAAGGGGGTAATTAACTATGGTGCGTGCTTGTCTGACTGCAATTTAGCGTGAACCCCCAGGGAGTTAGGTCGATCTAAATTTTAATCCCTGGATTGATCTAAATCTCTGGGAATACACCCTAAGGCATTGAACATGAAGGCTGAGCTACCCAGAGACCAGATGGAGGGACGACCTCCACCACCATCTGAGATCCACCTACGATGTCAGGCCAATCACCGTTATTTGGGGAGACAGATCAGGGAGGGGGTCTTCCATCATGGTGGGACAGTCCATCCTGAATTGATTGATTGATTATAGAAACATTAATTTAGTTGAAAAAATTAAGCTTATAAATTTACTTATATGTTTACAAAGTTGATTCACAGAGCAATTTAAGTCAGTTGTAACAGACAGTTAGCAAAGTGCAGTAGAAACCTTTCCTATTTTCAACATTAAAAATCAATTTATCAAACTGAAAAAAAAAGTTTCAAAGGCAGTGCTTTTTTGCTAATGAACTTTGTGATCTCTCCTCTTATTACATGTTATATCAGGTCCGAAGCCAGCAATTTCAAAAGGGGGTTTCTTTTACTGAAAAAAGAAAATGGACCTTTTACAATGAAACTTTCTTGTACCTAGATTAAATTTTACCCAGAATGGACCTTTTCCCAGCAAAAAGAGCGGTTCTTTCAAGCACCAAAAAGCCCCCCTCCTCTAGGTAAGGGCCTGACTATGCATCTTCTCTCATGGTGGTTTGTAAAAAAAATTCAGTCTGTTACCAGTGTATTTTGACAGCTGAAATCTTTTGTATTCACATACCTGGTCTTCAGAAGGAATAATGTCTGGACAGTCATGTACAACACACTTCTGCGGGCCACCACTGCAGGAATAAATAAAGTGTATTAGAACTGATCTATCAAAGTATTTCATACAGAGAGCTTACTACACTATCTTGGAAGGATTGCTACAGTATCAATTCCACAATCTGTTAATAATTTGTAAAAACATATTTGACGCTGATTGAACTAATTTGACTTACACTGTCAGGGATAATCCTGGGCCGTGCGATTGCGCCAAATGCACGACCTTTTCTGAAAGGCGCAAGTAAAATTTTAACCTGCGCCATACTGGCGCTTATACGTAGCAAACACTATTTTTTTGTAATAAAGATCTTCGTACATTATGATGTTGCTCGAACTGCACGTAGCAATGCTGTGAGGCTGACATGTGACCCATTTTACAAAAAAATATATCGAAACTGAAACAACTAAGGGTCAATAAAAGACGTACTGCTCAAGACACTGAAAACAGTCCACTCAAACTGCTTAAGACCGGCCACGCACGGACCTCTGAGAACACCTAACTACAGGTGCTGGGTAAACAAATATGGCTTCTGTCAGACATCATGTTGAGTAATCGATAAGTGAACAAGGCAGCAAAGCTGTCAAATGTACAGACAAAAAACAGAAAATAAAGATGCAAAATAGGTCATTTTGTCAATTTTGATGCAATAATAAATAATGCTTATAATAACACAGTCAGTTAACACTGATTTTTAATCATGCACAACAGATAACATGGTCAAAAACAGGAGCAGATCCAGAGATATTTTCTGACAGTATTCCAAAGTATCTTTGTTGATCCATCCTCCACTTTTGATGGTCTTCCAACAGAAAAAAATTGATACCAGTCAATGTAAACTTTAAAATCTGACCATCATCTGAAAGACCCAGAAGACGGCCTCAATCCACCCCTACAATAAGATTACAGTTTCTGTACCATGAGAGTTCAAATTCACATAATGAAAATCCCAATATTTGAAAAATGTTGACAGTGCATAAAATAATATTACATATTGTTTAAAGACATAAAAACCTATGCAACTGCTTATGTGGAAATACAGAAAATCTGAAGAGCTTCAGGTGGATGGGAGTTGAAAATGC